TCTCTTTAATACGTTTCACCAGAACTTAAAAAAAAAAGCGAGAGAGACTTTTGTACCGAGACTTTGAAATTTTCAGCAATTCCCAAACCATAATATTTACCTCTGATATAAAATGACACCCTGATGATGGATTATTGAACGCGGCCACTACACACCGAAGTATTTAAGAGGCTGCGCCCCCTTTTTCCTAAAGAGGGCAGTTTCACAGGTAGTATTTAGTGGGTAGGCACTTAGGTTTCGTAGTGAGTCCCACATAACCACGTAGCCGGCTGTCGTTGTATGCTTAGAGCATTCACCACCTTCCTTCCCCGCTTCGCGGAGGGTAGCCCTTTTCATTACTTCTAGGCGCAAAAAAAAACAAATTTAACATAAAGGTAGCCCGGTTTAGGGTATGAGATTTTAATGATGCATACTCGTAGTTACCAATTATGACGGTTCCTTTCAAGGTGGTTCAAAGATAAATGAGGCGCTTGAATTTTATGGCGCCCTTCGATTTTAATTAAGACTAACCGAGCTACATAAAAATTTATATGCCGCCCAAATAAGAATTACGTAGCTTTTTATTTAATTAATTTAAGTAATTATTACATAAACTACGGTGAAAAAATTGCTTTCGGTTCTGAAATTAGAACTGAAACCCCAGACTATCTCTCGCACACCTTATTATAAACTTTTAATTTACCAGATAATACCACTATTGATCAAATACTATACACCGAATCGATGAATATATTCGTATGTGTATGTTTGTCCTTACAAATACTAGTACATAAAAATATATTACATAAAATTGCTAATTTAAAGTAGGTAAGGTACGTTGGGGTAAGATCGGTGATGGGGCAAGACCGTAGGATTCAAATTCCCGGCGAATTATGCTATATTTTGAAAAGCTAACAATATGCTACACGACGCCATTGCATCCTGCCCCGACCCTCAGTTCGCCCCAGTCACTCCGGCAAGTGGGACCTGTGCTGCGTGGCATTTTATAAAACAATGTAATTTTTGTATTATTTTTGTCCATCCGATCTTTCCCTATCACTTTTATTTACGATTTTTAGCGAGAACATGGCTTCTTTTGTTATTACTTTGTGTGGATACTAATTTTTATGAAGTTATAGCTAAATAAAGCAGGTTCATGCCGGGGTAAGATCGCTGTAGGCCGAGATCCGATGTTTCCCCTCGTGAGTGAAGATCGAATGAATATTATCCGATCTTTGCCTGTTACAAATATGGCAGTGGTTGTTAAACTTTCATTGGTCGTGTATATTTTTTCGTTGATTACTCAAGTGAGTATGGGACTCAGTCTCGTTAGCAAGTCTGTATATTTAAAAGTAATAAAACAATACGATGGTTTTATTACTTTTAAGTACACATTAAAATACATTTTTTTATAGGATAAGGGTGACAAAGGAGCACACAGTCCACCTGATGTTAAGTGATTGCTGCGGCCCATAGACATCTATATCTATCCTCTATTACAAATCAAAATGTAATTTATAATAATTATTTAAAAAATAATTTATAATAATAAATGTTGCTTTTTTTTATATTTATATCTTCCTTAACTCCTGCATTATCCCAGGGCATTTCGCTAGTCCTTACTGTTATTTTTTTTTCCCATATAAAATCAAATGCATCCGATCTTTCTCTTATATTGAGTAATTCCATCTTATGTCATAACAAAGTTTGAGAAACATAAAATTACAATTTCTTTATATCAGGGATAAGATCGGATGGCAAGAAACAAAAAAAGACAAAATCGTTTGGAACATTTATGTTTCTAGTAATTTATAGATCATATTGAAATATGTTTTTGAGCGTTAAAGATAGGACAAATCTCTTTTATGAACTTTTTTCTCTAAGCAGTAGAAGTGGATTTAAATTTAAGTCCGGTCTTACCCCTTAATGGCCAATTTTTCATTATGCATATTAAAAAGTATGTCTAGTTTTCGCACACCTTTAAAGCAGAAACCGTTGAGTTTACACAAGCAAAAGATTCTCAGAGCTAAACAACGTTTAACGATTAACGGTTTGCTCCATGTTCCATAAATCTGACTTATACGAATGTCGAGAAATTAAAGTTTTTGGCAGAGTCTTCCAACTATTCGAAAATCCGTCCGGTATTACCCCAACGTACCTTACTAATTCACCACGTACTCGGTGGTGAAATTAAACATCGTGAGAAGTCCTGCATAAATTTATTTATTTATTTGTATGGATCTCCAACAGTTGTACATATTAAATTACTTCTAATACATGCCTTACATCTACAAATTACTATGTACTACCAATTATAGGAGAACACATCTTTCTAAAACAGTGTTTATAATTTTCCCTTTTTTAATGGTAGTTGTAACAAAAATAACAAAAATAAGTTTAACGAACAAAAGATAGATAATAATTTTTGTAACATAAATAAAAGTTAAGTTTAGCATAAAGTTAGTGACTAATTAATTAATTAATTAATTCGAGGGCATGTAATGTCCGCCAGATAAGTGAACCCTAAAGAAATAAGAGGAGGCCTTTGTGCAGGAGTGGGACGGATATAGGCTGTAATTTTACTTTACTTAACATTTTGTATTTATAAAAATGACTAGAAATTAGTCACACATCTTAATTATTGTAATAGGTGATCACATTATCACCAGAATAAATTTTACTCAAAGTAAAAAAAAAAAAAATTACACAAACCTCTCTATTTTAGAGTTTTATGAAGGAATTACCCATTAGTTACGAAATACTTTATGCAGGTGTCCTCACGCTGCCTGTCACTTCGACTGAGAATCGAATTAGGGCGCGTTCCCACGACACGCATCCGCTACGCGCACGCCACGCGCATCAGCACCCGCGTCTAACTCGTTTCGAAATTTGTTGCATATAATTTGAGTCTTATGACAAATCAATAAATCTGAAATTGCATAAAAAGCGCGTGAGTGGGGTGAGCGAGGCGGGCGCGTGTCGTGCGCGTGGCGGGCGCGTGGCGTGTGTGGTTGAACGTCGATAAATGCAATTTCAGATATATTAATTTGTCATAAGACTCAAATTATATGCAACAAATTTCAAAGCGAGTTATATATATAGGCCTATTTATTTGGCGAATTAGACATGCGAACCGTGATCGATTACTCTGACCATCACGCATTCTTCGTCATCATCATCAATACGTGAAAATTCAGTGCTAGGCACGGGTCCTCTCATTGTAAGATTATTTGCTTTAATCCTCATGCTTGGTAGAACCCTGACGCTGGTCTGGATATTTTTTGATGTAAACCGGACTCTACATAGCAATTCCCATAATCACCTCTTACGACAGTAAAATATCCAAGAGACAATATGTGGTGATAAATACGGTAACGTCACTACCACGCGGCAATCTAGTTGTTTTTTTTTTATTTTTACACACCAAATTCATGAATAAGATAAGAGGCATTTCATAATATCTTAACGAAGTAAATAAACGTTATATACGTGGTACTCGTAGAGCCATGCTGCAGCTATATTAGTAGTATAGTTGTAGCACGAATGGGTCGGCTGTCGGTTCGACCGGGGTAGGACCACGCTCTCACAGAATACCAGCGTAAAACAGCAGCTTAACACTACTGAGTTTCGTATGGCGAGTGTAGAGAACCGGAGACCCTTTTTACTGGTAAAGAGGCGTTTCATCTTAGTCCTCACGGGTGACAACGTATCTGCATTTTGATTTGCAAACGAGGATAGATATAGATGTCTGTGGGCCACAGCAACCACTTACCATCAGGTGGACTGTGTGCTCGTTTGTCACCCTATTTATAAAAGAATATATAAAATAATAGTCAAAAAATCACATCATGTTATACAAATATGTCAACAATGACATGTGGTAAACTAACCGCGACTATCGTGATATGTATGTGGTGGAGGCACATCAATATTACCTAAAGATTTTTGAGATTGCGCTATCATACAAAGAAGCCTTATAATTTTGTTATATCTGTCATAATGTCACAAAAAATTCTTCGGAAGTTTTAACTGAGTAAGATAAAAATAGTCTTTCAAGTCGTTAAAGCCGACTTGTGGAGTGGTCTTTACCACTGCTGAACATAGGCTTCCCCCATAGATTGCCTCATATTTGCCATAGTTGCCACGCTTGGCAAACGGTTTTCAAACACAGTTTTTCATTTTTAGTCGTTATAAGACGCTGCTACCAATCTCCTGGTTTGTTTCCCTTTGTCGCCTCTCACGACATCCACATCCACGGGATGATATGGGGTAGTAGATATTCTTACACCTATTCTACTCGTTTAAATATAAAGAATAGAATTATATTTTTCATGTACTTTCTCTATAATAAGTAGAGGCGATGAGATTTTTTTTTTCAAATCTCCATCAAGTTACAGTCCATTACTGACCGTATTCCTCCCTTTTGCAGTCGTAGCGTGGTAGCTATGTCAATTATCTCAAATAATTGAGATAATTGACATAGCTACCACGCTTGGCGGGCAAATCGGTAAAATTGATTTTAGGAAGACGTGGCAGTACGTCTCTCCTAGTTCTTAAGTAAAGATTTTTTTTAAATAAAGTTTTGATTTTGAACTGAAACTGAACAATAATTATTACCAACGACATTAAAATTAAACTTCGCCTTTCTTTGCTTTTTGTCCTTTATTATTAAAAAAAATTAAGAAATTGTTTTCAAATTATTAACAAAATGTTTTCTGAACGTATGATTCTACATAATAACTGTCATGTCTCCACCTTCTTACGTAGTGGCCAATTTTATATTTGTTTTATATTTGTCATTATTTGTGACTTCATCAAGTTCTACTTTTTCAAACGTATACGCAAAGTTACTCACGTAAATTTATATATTTACTAATACTTAAAATGTTGCTGGTTCTACACACATGATAAAACTGTTATAAATACACCGGCAGTTCATTCTTGCGAATAGTGCGCCTGTGATTGTGGTTGCGCCTCTTTTCTTATTAAAACACCTTAATTAAAATTTCATTAAATTTAATATGGGCCCCGGTGTAATTCAAAACACGGACAATATTCTAAACAGTTCGCAGAAACCAATTTCTGTTGATGGTGGTAGTTTTTTAAATCAACTTGTTGCAAGTAATCGCTATAGCGTTGGTAGTACAGAGCTTGTTGTAAATAGAACAATTTCTGATATTAATCTGGATGGTAGAAAAGAAAAATATGTAGAGCTCGGTGCGGGAGACTTTAAAATTGAAAAAACGAAGCTGGATAAAAAGATGCTTCATCAAGTGACACGCCCAAAAGTCCTGAAAAACCACGAGTCCAGGGAATATTTGTATGATCGACTGTACGACACCACCGGCCCGAGAATAGTAAGTCAATAAGTTTGTTAAGAAAAACTATTAAATATTTAAATGTAACGTAGGTAAATTATTTATTATTTTATTTACATACAGACACCGATAAATAAACTACACACTTAATATAATAGGTGGCCTAATTGCTAGACAGCGATTTTTTCAAGGCAAAGCTAAGTGAAAAGATTATTTTAATTATTATTTAATATATATATATATATATTCTATGAAAAATGGTAAAATTACACGTGATTTCTATTGAAAAATATATAAAATACATTTAATTTAAAATGGGCATAAATCAAAGGAATTCTTGTTAAGTATGTTACAAATTAATACAGATTAAAAATTATATATCAATAAATAGAAATATATTGTATTTTGTCAATAATATTCTAAAATCCACCAGGAGAAATTCTGACACTAATATCTTTTAATGTGAAGTTTAAGGCTGTGATAACATAATTTTAAGGATATTGCTCTATAAGGTAGAGTCTTGGCGTAAACTGTAAGAAATTCGTTAGGATCATAGTCATAAAAAACTGTAAACTTTAAATTTTAGGTATAATATAAAATTTCAAAAAGTTAAATAAATTCTATATCACTATTTAGATCAACAAACTAGGATAAAAGGTCTTCGTAGTTTAAAGCAATAACTAAATTATTTTAAGCAATAAAATATAATAATTATTGTTGTATTTTGGTTGTTCACATATTTCATTTTTATTAAAAGGAACGATTATCATCTGTTATTAACTTTAAAAATATAAAAAATCAAAACACTACATAATAAATACAGTTCCATTACTTCTTAAAAGTAATCTTATTGCTTAACACCAAGTTCCCGCACTAACGGCGATACGAAACACCGTCACGCCTAGCCTTTAATTTTATTATTTAAAGATTGTGTGTGTCCAAGCCGTTAAGTTTTGTTTGTTTTAAAACAAAGCAGAATTTGTATAAAAATCAAATATTTGTTCCAAGGCCTTGACCAAAATGTTAAACAAACATCTTTTTAGGGTTCCGTACCCCAAGTGTAACCAACGGGACCCTATTACTCCGCAATCCGTCCTTCTGTCTGTCAGCTGGCTGTATCTCTAATCCCTAATAGGTAGATAGTAGATGTATGTATTTCTATTGCCAACAAATAATAAACATAAAAACAAAACAAAAATTTAAAGCAGACTCCCCTACTAGAGACGTGTTTTATAATGGTACGGAACCCTTCAAAATCGGTCCGGCAGTTTAGGTGAAGTTCAGTCACATACATCCTAGCAGAAAAATTATATATATGTCGGAGCGTCTCCGGTTGGGTCGAGGTGCGATGGAGGGTATATCGAGAAACTCCCGCTTGTTTGTGCAGTATAAAGTTCACTGTAGGTGCCGTGCGCGAGAGATTCCGCTTAAGTCATTCAACGAGTGTGGTTATTCGACTAGTGCTAAGATAGTGTCGTGGTTCTGTTCGTTGTTGTAATTCTTCTAGTGCAGGCAAGGAGAATTGGTGTTGCTGAGAGGCTGCCCAGTGTTACATTGAGATAAGTAGTGTTGCTGTTGGTTCACATATTTTGGTGTTATCATGTAATTACGTACCTCACGTTACACTGGTGTGTGATTGTGGCAGAGACGTGTTACGGTGTGGTCGAACTGTAATTTCACTATACTGGATGTATAGTGCGTTACGTTGTCTTATTACTGATAATGATTAAACTGCGTAAGCAAGAGAGCAAGTTGAACATCCGCTCTCACACTTTTATTATTTTTAACAATTAACGCTATCCTGATGTATTTCCAAGATCACAAGTGGAATACTCTGTTGAATAATTCTCTGACATCAGAAGTGGGATCTCCTGTTGTCATTTCCGATATCAGAAGTGGGATAAAGTCCCTGTTACTGCCCACCTGCTATAAACTTTGAATAGTGTGAGGGTTATTACGTTGGTGAAATACTATGATACGCCTCGCGTTTTGTTTTTGTGTTTAATTTCTTAAATCAAGTTTGTTGTCGTATTTACGACACTGACGAATCATTAAAGTGTAGAGTAAAAGTTTAAAGTGAAATGTTTTAAGCCAAAAGTTAAATCTTTTTGTTCGATTAATGACAAAAAGTACCCGCAAGTACTTTCATTATTTCAAAACGTACCCAAACGTGATAACAAATGTCGAAAGAAATGTTGGAGGTATTCTAAATGAGTTATAGTTCGCATTCAGTGGAAGTTTAACTTGCTCAAGTTATGTTATAATTTGATACACGAGGTGTGATTTACATGGGCTAGTTTTAAAATTCAAAATGTTTAAACGATGTACCGAAAAAAGGAACATGTTTACTTTAACGTGCTATGAATTAAAAACATCAAGTAGTATTTTTCTGTTCTAATGTGTTGATAAGTGTTACAGTTTACTGCGAGTATTACGTAGTCGATAAAATTGGGATTTGATGTTGAGGATTTAGTGGAAGGCGTGGTGCTGTGGCGCTCGCTCTTGAGTGGAAATATGCTGTCGGCTTATGACGCCGCGACCACGTTATTTGCCGCTGCTACCGATCACCATTTGATACATGAGGAAAGCAAATCTATTCCTAACATTGTCTTAAAAAATATTTTGTAAGAATAAGTGTTTACATTTTTAATCGGTTGCGAAAAATGCCGGAAAACCAAAGTATAACTGATGAAAGCTAAGAACAGCAAATTAGTTCTGACATTGAAGAGAGTATTTAAGTTTACATGAGGATCGGACCATACCAGAGGTTGTCGTGTAGCTGCAGCTCAGTATATGGTGCCCTGGAAAGATTAGTGTCTTGAGAGTACTGCTGCATTTTTTTAAAAAAGTTCCTACTGAATCTTTTTAATGTTTTCTTTTGTGTTACAGTAGCACGTGTCATGTGACTACATGTGCGCGAGTTTGAGATCACGATGACTTCAACCTCGACGATGCCTGTGAACCCTCAGGTGCTCCTGCTGCTCCCGTTGACGCTTGGAGTGCGTGGTACGGTGCAGCGTCTCGCTGGCGCTGGTGAGATGCGACGGCTCGCTGTGCGAGTGCGGCACGCCCTGTGCTGTTGTTTTGACCATGTGAGCTTGCTTCATGGCAGCTAACTATGGCGTGTGCTGGTTTGTTTTAATAGCCACGTGCGCTTGCCTTACGCCTGCCGCAGAGGCGAGCAGTGAGCGACGTGTTGATGTTTACTATGTGAGTAATCCCAGCAGTGTGCTGATGAATACTGGTAGTCGTACCCATTTATTATGATTCTGGGCCGAATGCCCTATCATCAAAGATTGTGTTGTGGCAAAAGTGTAAGTAATTTTGTAAATTTAACCGGAATCTGTCAAAGTTTAGTGTGCAAAGTCACAAATACCCCCATGATCATGTGAGGAAGATCCCCGATCACCAAGTTCCTCGAGAGTTAGATGTCATAGTTGATGACAGTGGTAGTGAGACCAAATTTGATTAAGAATGCTTGTATACTCATACTCTAAACTTTAGACCGCACCTCATGAGTAACATGTGGCGATGGGTCTGTAGGAAATCGTTGGTGCGATTTCTGTCTGTGTTGGTGCATATTTGGCGGCAGATATGTAGGGAATCGTTGGTGCGATTCTGGCATATGTGGCAGCAGATGTGTTGTAGCATATTTGGCAGTGGATATGTGGAGAATCGTTGGTGCGATTCTGGCATATGTAACGGCAGATATGTAAAGAATCGTTGGTGCGATTCTGGCCTGTGTTGGTGCACAGAGCCTCTTGTGTAATGTAGCATATGTGACGGCAGATATGTGGGGAATCGTTGGTGCGATTCTGGCATATGTGACGGCGGATATGTAAAGAATCGTTGGTGCGATTCTGGTCTGTGTTGGTGCACAGATTTCAATGAAAGTTTCACGAGTTGAATATGCATTGCTTATGAATTGTAAAGAGTAAAAAAGTGTTAAAATTACTGTGTTGGAACTTGTTGATCGGACCTTCCACGACAAATCATGTTGTGCAGGAAGCACTGTGTAAGAAGCCTTAATAACAAGGCATTGTCAATTATGACAGTTAGCTATTGTACTTAGACTTAGGAGAAGTAAAGTACCATTTGGAATCGATCTTGTTTCGATTGGCAGGATAGCCGAGCTAGATTAATCTCTGAGCATATTTCTGTCCACAGGCACTACCGAGGACGGATGCTAGTCAGGAGTGGCCGTGTTGTGGATTGACGGCGCCATAGTGCAACAAGCAGCGCCATCTAACAATTAATTTTGCGAACTAATAATATGTACCTGCTCATGTCAGGACGGACGAGCGGATGAATTGGTGGACTAATAGTGTTGGTTACAGGAATGCATGAAAATACACGCCCGAGGACGGTCGTACGTCAGGATGGCCGTGTCGGAGCGTCTCCGGTTGGGTCGAGGTGCGATGGAGGGTATATCGAGAAACTCCCGCTTGTTTGTGCAGTATAAAGTTCACTGTAGGTGCCGTGCGCGAGAGATTCCGCTTAAGTCATTCAACGAGTGTGGTTATTCGACTAGTGCTAAGATAGTGTCGTGGTTCTGTTCGTTGTTGTAATTCTTCTAGTGCAGGCAAGGAGAATTGGTGTTGCTGAGAGGCTGCCCAGTGTTACATTGAGATAAGTAGTGTTGCTGTTGGTTCACATATTTTGGTGTTATCATGTAATTACGTACCTCACGTTACACTGGTGTGTGATTGTGGCAGAGACGTGTTACGGTGTGGTCGAACTGTAATTTCACTATACTGGATGTATAGTGCGTTACGTTGTCTTATTACTGATAATGATTAAACTGCGTAAGCAAGAGAGCAAGTTGAACATCCGCTCTCACACTTTTATTATTTTTAACAATTAACGCTATCCTGGTGTATTTCCAAGATCACAAGTGGAATACTCTGTTGAATAATTCTCTGACATCAGAAGTGGGATCTCCTGTTGTCATTTCCGATATATATATATAAAGATTCGTAAGAAAAACGATCTTATACTCCACCTGATGATAACCATATCCTCTAATAAGGTATATATAG